CCGTTGGGTAACTCGATTTCTTCATGTGGTTTATAAGGTAGGTGAGGCTGGTTAGTTAGGTGACACCACCATATCTTCTCTTACCATTACCACTTAATTACTTCGTTTTTTTTCTTTTGTTAGTCAAACTTTAATACGTTTCACAAATTAATATTCTCTCATATGGGGGATTCCAAGAAACTAGTTTAGTTTTGTTAAGTTGGGTTTTTGCAAAACCCGAATCTGGTTTAGTTCCACTCCGCTTGGTTTTTGTAGATAAAAATGTTTCGTCGACCAAATCCATGTCGACCACATCAGTCCAAATCTTATCACAATGCACAAATCATGTCTTAAAAAGGTTTGGACAACTTTTAAACTATTCCATGAAGATCGACCCTAAAGGATTGGGATGTACCAAATACACATAGAAATTGTTGGATATTTGACTGGCTAATTGAGGATTGATCCACAAAATCAAATCAAACTTTTCTTTAAAATGCTGATCACACTCGAATCTTAAAAAATGTTGAATTTATTATTAGACAACCAAAAACTGTTTGCCAATTGCATCGACCTATGAAGATTGTGTAGGAATAATTTTTGATGTGTTCTTTTCTGGCCGGATGGCTGATATTTAGGAGAGGAGAAAGTGTGTGCCTAATATATTTTGTTTTTGTTCTTTTAAAGAATGTAAACTTTAATCATCTCAAAAAGCCTTTTTGTACATCAATTGTGTGTCTAATTTCGAACCAAGCTGACAAATGATTTTGGACTAATTTGTTGTTTCGTGTGGACAAAGAAATAGATTTAAAGATGAAGAACATGTCCAAGAATGGAAGTGGAGCTCTCCAAATCCCGATAGGAGATTTTGATATGTGATATAAAGTCGAAGTATTTGTGAAACGGATCTAGTAACATCAATTGTTTTCGCATGCATCACTCTAGTATAATCGATGACATGCGTGTATACTAGTTTAGAAGGGTTGTATAATGATAATCGCCATCCATCTATTGACCCCAACCTCACTCCTTCCCCATTCTTCTCTTTCTCACTAAATGCTACAAGGAGATATTTATCAAAAATACCTTACCTTGGTTTTAGGATATGTTTAATCGTAGTTGTGTCATATCGTCCTAGTCGTAAGATTAGTAGAATATTGATAGCACAAGATGGATTAATTTTTTTTTTTAGTAACGATACCAGATGATTGAACAATTAGAAACAATACAAATAGTAATAAAAGATTATAGTACTAAAATTTTGTAACACAATTTTACTGATTTGTTACACAAGAATAATACAAATTGAAATATAGTTGTAATGCAAGTAAGTTTATAAGGCTAACATTCAAAGCTATTATATTTTTCTCTTTTCCAGATGTAGCGTGATGTAACTATGTTAGAAATATCAGAAAAACGTGTTTTTGAATAGCTAAGGTAGATGCGTTTTGTCGCAAGAAAACATCTAATGTATGGATAACTTATCAACCTTGGTATTGGTTTATATAGTGTTTGGTTCGGTATAATTGTACACTGTAAATTAATTTTGGTTTAACTCATGATTTACTTAGGTGTATATAATACAATGTAAATGGAATCGATTGTAATTAATAAGACTAATAAGAAGTTTGGTATTTTGATATTTTCTTACAAGCTTCAACTTCTATTATGGTATCAGATCAGTTTAAACAAACTAACACCTAGAAAATCACCAAACATAACCACATGGGAAATTGGCAAATATAACAATTTTTTTTTTTGTAATTTACTCAATAGCCAAAATTACTGTTCATTGTGTATAATATGTATTATGGACAATTTTGTCCTTCTGATAATCTATTCTATTCTATATAGGTACTTATACATAGAATAGTACATAATGAGTTCTATAATTTTTTTTATTATTTTCAAAGGTTTATAATT